ACCGAATTTTCCGATGTGGAGCCGCCGTGGGTGGACCCGCCGGCTTTTGCTGCTATCGATGGGTTTGATCTTCGCATGGTTCAAGTGGACTGGATGCACACATGGTCATTGGGAGTGGCACAAGACGTGCTGGGAAGTGCCATCAAACTTATGTGCAAAGGCAAGATGTGTTACACAGGACCCAATATACAGAAACGGCTCAGCCAGTTGTACCGAGATCTCAAGATCTATGCAGCTGCGAACGGCAAAGCTTTGTCTTGTAAAAGACTTCGTAAGCGCACTCTTCGCTGGGAAAATGGCTGCCCTGAGCTGCACGTCAAGGCTGCAGACATTGCGGTGTTTTTGCCTTTCGTACTTGCGAAGCTGCAAGAGGTTCCGATGGAGGGGCCTTACACTGGCCTGCTTGCGATGGTTTGGGCAGCTGACGAATTTTCCCGCTCCGTCATGGCAAGCAGGACGTTTTTGACGGTGGACCAACAGCAGCACATACGTACAGTGGGCGATGTCTTCCTGTCTACCTTCTGCCTATTGGCACAGCAAGCACGGGACAGAGGCGAATACTACTTCAAGATGCGTCCAAAATTTCATCATTTGATCCACATGGTCAGAGACAGTCGACCGAGCAGAAGGTCTCCGGGATGGGACAACTGTTACATGGATGAGGACCATGTGCGACACTGCATTCGTGTTCTGCGCAAAGTAAGTCATCGGACGGCAGAGAAAACTTTGCTTCTTCGAAATGCTGTGCAGGTGAAGCAGACCATGCTGCAGTGCTTGCGGTAAACTCGAGATTTTTCGCTGGGGCGAGAAAACGAATGTCGGTGGCCGAGTGCGAGAGTGGGTGGCTTTCGGGTTTAGAGCTTTCCTTATTCGGACCCTTGCTGTCGGGCTAAAGTTTCGGGTATTTGGGGTTTGCTGTTGTGTTTCCGCCGTCCCCATTTCCGAGTTCAGGGCTTTCAAGGGCGAGGGAGAGACGGAGAGACACCCCAAATCCCAAACCTCAACTGTGCACCTGCCAGACCCCAAACCCCAAAACCGCAAACCTTACAAACCCTAAAAACCCTAATTGTGGCTCAAATGTTTGTTTGGCTCAAACCCTACAAACCCTAACTGGCTCAAGTGTTGTTTGGCTCAAATATTATTTGCCAAAGCACGTGTGGCTCAATTGTATTCGCAAGCTTTGGGATTCGCGCCTCTTTCTGCTAATCCCTGCGGTTTCGGACCGTCCCAAAATGTTCAGGACAAACTAGTGCTTATCCGACCTGTCCGAGGCATCCGGCTTTCTTCTGTGAAATTCGTGGCGAAAAAATTTGCTCAGCCCGTTTGAGAGAAAACTTGTGCTTCATTTTTTGTGAATTTTAAATGACCTTTAAAATGCCAAATGACCCTTAAATTTCAAATGGCCCTTAAATAAAGCGCCCAATTGGGTGTTGGGGTCCTTTTACAGCACGCCACGTCTTCCAGGACCTGGCCAAGAGCGCTGCCGGGTATCTGGGTGCTCTCCTTGTCCAGGGTGCCTTCCAGGATAGCCTCTCGACCACCGTGTCCTTGATCGCCCAGCTATCCTGCCAGAGGTCGACCTCGTCTCTATGGACCACTCGGACAGGTTCGGGCGCCCATCCTTCGTTTCTCGTAGCCATAGACGCCACCGCGCATGGATCGAGACGTAGCGCTTGAGTGTCTTGCCAGGCAGCGTCAGGATCGCCCTATCCGGATCCAGGCTTCCCTGGAGCTTCTTCAGGACAGGAGCTCCACAGATGGCCCAGGTGGCTTGTAGCCGTTCTTCCCTCGCCTGCGCCAGGGAGCCCTCGTTGATCACGCGCTTCTGCCTATCCAGGCCTGCCACATTTTTCTGCAACCTGGCAAGCAATTGATGACTTGTCTCGTATACTCCCTCGGCATCACTGGCAGCATGCTGATACCAATTCAAGACGTCCACGTGGACTTGCCCTCTGGGAAAACGAACATGCAACAGTCGACCATTGTGAATCGCATTATACTGAACGTCCCCTGCCTTGGTAAGCTTGGTGGAGATCACGGTCAACAGGCCCGCGACTTTATCTTCGGGTCCCTGTCCCTGACTGTGCACGAAATGGTAGGCCTTGTCGGACCACACAGTCGTGCTGCCACTTCGTTTCCTGCACTAGCACTATGTCGTATTCTCCCATGGCAGCAAGGTCCGAAGCTCCTGAAAGAGCTCGGATGCCGTTTGTGTTCAGCCGTAGAGTGGCTACGGAAGAGGGCTAAGAGAAACACCGTAGTGCATCTTTAGCAAAACATCACGTGGAAGCCATCCACACAGGCTGGGAGCGGCCCAGAATAGAGTATCGCCAGTTGCTTTCACTCCAGCATTGCTGCGTGTCAACGGGAGGCACGACAAGATCGAGATGGTGAAACAATTAGGGTTGACATAGGTAGTACGTGGCCTAATTTTGGTTACGGGAGGTACTTATTTGCAAGCCTGTACGTACTCCCCCACGAATCCGCCTGCTGCGCATCTCTCGCTTCCAGGATACAGAGGTCGGCAGAACAGTCAAACTTCACACCAAGGTCAGCATACCTACTACGGTCCTGGTACCTTGCTACAAGAGCCCCGGTTCAAACTGGGATTGCGAGCTGGACCAATATGCTGTGGTTGCGGGTGTACTTCACTATGGAGCTACTGTTCACGAAGGACACTATGGTTAACCACCTCCAAGCCCGACTTGCCCCTCATGCACCTCCACCGTGGAAAGCCGATGACAGCAAACCTATAGAGCCTGTTAGGACATCAGTGTTGAACGATTCTGTACTAGGTCAACAATGCTATGTCCTCCTGCTGTGCTGGTCATAGCGGACTGAGTGCGGGGGTAGCCGTTTGTGGGGACGCACAAGCAGCACACGCTCCGAAAAATAGCCAAAAACTCATAAAAAGATTGCGCACATGTTGCCAGCGCCCACGGCTACGCGGCTACCCTAAGTGCCCACACCTCATTGCTGCTTCGGTGAGGCTTGCCCACTCCGGTGTGCCTCTGGCCACTCCACTGTTGCATGCAATTGGTTTCTAGACTGGGATGGTTAGTTGACCCGAGTTGAAGGTTGACACAAAAAGATTGCTTGGTTGTGTCCGCCTTCTCGGGATATGGGGATCGAGACCCCCTGCTGCACTGCCGGTACAAAGCATCTCTATCCGTAGTATGTTGGCCAGAGCAGGCTGCCTACTACGGCGGCCCACGTGGTGAGAATTCCCTACTCCTTAGAAATCGACGATGGCATCCCCCAAAGCATGCCACGGCCCATACATGTGGTTGAGCAAATTGCAGCGGACACGTTTGTCAGCGGGCAAGTCCGTATGAACATTTGGGAGAGACTGTGTGATAGCTGCGCAGAGAAGCCAGCACGGAACGCTCCAGTGGAATGTGCTTCTTCAGTAAAGCCTACAGTCAGGGCCCATTCTGTGGACTGCGATGCAACACCACGTCATTTCCCTGGGTAATGCTTCTGATCTGCAAATACAAAGGCCCTTCTCCAGTTTTGTGCTTCAGCGCAATACCGCTATGCGTGCACAGCGGGATCTCAACAATGATCCTGACAGTGCCAAGGTTGTGCTGCCATGTTCGACTTTCACTGGCGGTGGCCTATGGTTGCAGTCCCCGAGAGGCGACTGCCCCTCTATGGATGGCGTCCTTCGTGGACGCGTGCACAATTTCACGATGTCCGGAGTTACCTTCAATGCGCATCATCGGCATGAGACTTGCCCCTGGGAAGGACGTCGCATCACCATTGCGATATATACTATCAAAGCGGTGACTGCCCTTCATCCAGATGACATCGACACCTTGAGTCGCCTACAGTTTAGGCTGCCGACTTTGGAACCCTGAGCAAAAACATCAGTGTGCCCCGATGGGCCACTTGTATATTCGCTGCCCCCATTCTGTACAGTGTACACATTGCAACTGTACATGAGCTACGACGTTAGCTCGGTGAATCACACCTTATTTTCCTCATTCTCGCATTTTGACACATTACTTGAACCCATCTGCTGCAGTAATCATGTACATCTGTGCAACAATGCACAGTGCTCTTGACAAGTTGAGTAGGTCGCAAGTTTGCAGCTATTCGTAGCGGGGACTTGCCCATGTGAATTTTGTGCTCTTGAAGCACCGGTGCAATGCACTGCCACGTACCTGACGCTAAGCTGAGCGACCGGCTGCGATTGGAAGGGAAAATTAGTAGTAGCAGTAGTAGTTGTAGTAGTAGTAGTAGTCGTCGTCCTCGTCGTGGTCGTAGTGGTAGTGATAGCAGTAGTCGTAGTGGTAGTGCTACTGGTAGCGGTACTGGTGATGGCCGTGGTCGTGTCAGTGGTAGCGATGGCGATACTGAAAATAATCATACTGATAGCAGTCCTCGAAGTCGTAGTTGCAGCCATCGTCACCATCGCCTCGACGTCGTAGAAGCAGCAGTAGTAGTAGCTAGCCCAGCCAATCCTAAATTGGCTGAGAACGTGCGACAGCAGTGAGAGCGAATCCACGAGGAAATACAATACACGAAGAATGAAAGTGAAACTCATGCTGGTATGAGCATGGTCACCACCATGGCCATGGGGAAAAGCAGTTACACCAGCGCTTCTGGGCGATTTGGCGCAATGTTCAACATCATGATCGCCATCGCCTCCATCATCATCTATACCACCTTTAGGTCACCATGGTCCAATCTTCGTCGTCAAAACCGTAGCCACCTTGAACATATGCGACCTCGACTGCGACCGCCTTGCACCAAGGCCATGCCTGACTGTTGCCAGGGTCGTCACCACAATGCAGCCTCTGCAAACCGCCGGAACAGATGCCGAAATGCCAGTATCATCACCATCATCAGAACGATTTGGGTTTCCACAGCTGTTTCGTTCTGTAGAAGCCTGTGCAAAGACAGGGGTCCACTGCGCCTCTGCATTGCACCACATGCACATCGATGACACTCCACAAATTGATGTGTGCCTGTGTGTCTACTACCGGGAAGCGGTCCTCTAACAAAGCTTCTGCCGACATCACCGCCTCACTTTTCGTCTTGAATGGGCGCCAACACTAACCGATGCTCGTCGTTCTCACCATTGCAATGCCGAGTTAACAACCGCTGCTCCTGTATGCTTCAAGCATTCAGCCTGGTCGTCAGGGATGTGAAAGCCACGTAGAAGGTACAGTCAACTGACATTCGCACTTCCATGCATGAGGCTGGGTTGTCCACTGCATCGTGCTTGGTCTCGATGCCTGGAGCTTGGAGTGTGCCCCACGGCCCCAAGTTCGAGTCATGTCGTGCCTCCGTTGGCAATCCTTGGTCAAATTTCACTACGAACCAAAATCTTGCCAAGCAGGTCGTTTTCAATCATATGCTGCGGACGAGCCACACAGGAATGCCGACAGAGCTCCGCACAGCAGCAATGGCTTCCTGGCCACTTGTGCGGTGAACAGCTCCATGGTTTGATGCAAGTATGTTCAACACAGCTGAGGGTCTGGGCCCAATTGGGCGCCAAACTTGCTTCCCGCAAACCGTCTCGCTCCTCGTTTCCAGCTACCAAAACACGAGGCAATTTCTGTTGAAACTAAGCGTGAAATCCTGAGTTTCCGGCTGCATATTTTGGGCGTTGTGTTATCGTTCTGCCATGCACACCTTACTGTGCACGAGGTAGAGGTTGCGTGTTGTCAATAGTTGTACATGATCCGAAGCATAGGTGGCCAGGCAGCATTATTCAATGCCAGTATTGGTATAGCCGAGCAGCTGATTCAATTGTGTTACACTGTCCGCAATTTCAGAGGTTTATCATCACTCGCGAGGTGGTTGACCTTATCAACATCATCATGCGTCTCAGCTTGTATGTGGTAGTCTGGACTCTCCCACAGTCCTTGCCGAATGATTCGTGCGTGCATATGTGTGTTTGTGTGTGCCGTCTCTGTTGTCCGGCAAGAAGTTCAAGCAACGAAGACGGCACAGCTGACAGATTAGTCCCCCTTGCCTATCCCTAAAAAATGACTGCCACAGAAGCTTGACACTGGTAACTTTTCGTGCTGACTCTACTGTTGATTAAATTGTTCGCTCCTCCTCCACAGCCTCCCCCCCTCCCCACCCCTTCCGCCCTTACCCTTGTGCTCTCTCACATTACAGAAGCCAGTCGATGAGTTCCGTCATAGTGCTGGTCTCCGGCATGCCGAAGCGAGCGGCGTGGCACTAAGATTTGACGAATCAGTCTGTAACACTACTCGCAGTAATCATGGATGTAGTGAAGGCCATACCCATGAAACGAATAAGACTAAGACCAGCAGTGATGGCAATGTTCGTAGCAGCGGCAAAGAATTCAGCGATTGCAGCAATCGCAATGGCAATAACAAGCAGCAGGTGTCGCAGCAGGATAGTAGCGTCAGTAGGGTAGAGGTGGATTGAGCAGGAGCAGGAGCACGAGCAGTATCAGTAGCTGTACCCGAAACCCTACCACCTAAACTAAACCCCAAACCCCCGAAACCCGAAACCGATGTGCGAAATCCCAAACGATAAACCCCCAAAACCCTGGGTAAGATGACGCGTGATCTTTTTCATCTTGGTTGGCGATTTCGGGGGTCAGTGGGGAGTGGTAGCCTTGTTATCTTGGTCCGCAAGTGGTGCAATTGGGGCAACTCTGCAAGTAGTGCTAGCAAAGCATATTCCAGCGAACATAATACAAGTGATACCAACAATAGGCAAATCAGTTAACGTAAACCGTAAGAAAAGACCACGAACATCGATAGCGTCGTAGCACGATAACAAGTATCAGCTTTTTGATGCTTTTTGTATGTCGCAGTAACAGCAAATGCAAACTAGCAGTGACTGTGACATCGAACAAATGCAGAAATAGTCATCAAGATAAGCGACCACAAAAATGGCATGCTGGACAGTAATACAGACGAGGTTGTCATAGCAGAGGAAAATGAAGCAAACAAGAACTTGAGCAAGAGTATGAGGAACACTTATGGTGAGGGCAAGGGTTGCGGCACTAGGAGGAGTCGCAGCCCCAGTGCTCAACTATACTTCAACTACTTACAGTGATATAGTGCGGAAACAAATTTGGCGCAGAACGTTGAACTGTGGAATCCTAATCCTTCTATCCAATGCCAGGGACATATCCTAGAGCGAATGCGCCCAAGGAACAAAGAGCGGCGGCCCCTGCTTGCTCGATTGCCATCGCTAGCTGCAGAGTCGCCTCTGCTGCTTGGGGACAACAAGCAAACCGAAGCTAAGTCGGCTATCAGGTGCCTCACGACTTTGCAGAAGCCGGATCTTTGCCGTGACGGGGATCCTCCGGAGTCCCGCTGCAACCGTCTTCACGATTCTGACCTGCAAGCACTTCGAGACTGGCCAAACTTGCTTGTAGAACTGTAGAACTGCAGAACTTAGATGGCGGCCACAAGCTGAGAATCGCGTAGCAAATACGCCTTTCCGTCGCTGCCGACTGCACTCTTTTCTAGACACGTCCGCTTTTGCACAAAGCACGCCAGCATCACTCCGTATCTACGGCAGCGAGGTGAATGAGCTTGGTGACCACCCCTATCAAGGGGAATCTTCGTCAATACCGGCATGACAGATGCTCCGAGACGTCTTCGAAGGCCTGCGCGCATCTTCTGTCGGACAGCCGAAGTTGATGTCCACCGCCTGGTTTTTCCGTTTGGAGACATTGGTGTGTCAGTGTGTTAAGTTAAGTGTGTTAACACACACGGACGGTACGTTATGCTGTGCGCTTTGAACGGCTCTGCCGAATGCTTTCTCAGCTTCTGGCATCGACATGAGGCTCCAAAATGCGAGCTGCACGGAGCAAAGTGTGCCTTTGAGTCAACGAGCACTGATCTTCCTTCTGTCATCTAGCTTCTTTCCCCAAACTGTTCCTTCTCCTCCTTTGCGTGAGTGAGAGTGTTTGCGTGAGTGTGTGTGCGTGTGTGTGTGTGTGGGGACCTCTGTTGAAAAAAGTGAATCCACACAACCCCCAAACCAAACAACCTGAATTCTGGATTCGATTTTTCGAAGCGGGGGGCTGACGGCCCGTCACTCAGCCAACGAAGACTACCAGCGACAGGGCGTGGAAACGTACCCGCGAAGTACAGGGGGAAGGTGCACCTGGGTCTTCGTGACAGCTGGTGGCCCTCATGAGGAATTCCTGGCTCCGTCGTGGCAGCTGGAAAACCTGCGATACGTAAGCGCATTCCTCCAACATACACTTATCCCACGTACTCGTCGCGGACGAGAGCGGGGTTTGAAGTGCCCAACCCGCTAACTTTTCGTTGTCCCTTTTCCGTTTTCCTGTTTGCTGTTGCAGTTACGAAGTACTGCAATGCGCCAAGCGCAACCTACAATCTGTTGAATTTGCCACTATCGTTTTACGGCTGCACAGCCAATCGCTCGCCCTTCTTGACAATTTTCGCTCGGACAAAAGCGCCTGCAAAGTCGTGCGTCCAGCACTGTACAACGGAGCTCAAAACGTAAAGCAAAAGTACTTACAAAAGTACCGGCAAAACATACTGATACATACGGATGCAAAGTTTTGCACCCCGCCTAAAGCATGCCACGTACTTGGCAATGCTTTCCTGAAAACTTTGTGACTTCCAAAGCCACCTGTACTCAAAGTATTGGGCTCGGTATCGTAGTGCAGAAACTCGAGTGTGTAACAACGCTCCGGTGAAAAGAAAACTACGTACTCAAGTGTCGCATGCTCCACATGCTAAGTACAGTCAGCCATCTATGTACCACAATGTACAAGGCTAATTTTAACGACAAAATGCCGGTCATGCCCCTGTGCAACCCAAAGCTTGAAGCACGCCATGGGCTCACATTCATACCCCTGTGCACCGTAAAGCTTGATGCACGCAATGGGCTCACATGCACTTCGTGTTTGACTTCGAAACGAACTCTTCAGGATGATACACCTTGCGGGGATTGCAAAATGAGCATGGCTTCAAATTCTTGGCGATTGCATCTTCCTCGGACATCTCGCTCACCTCCAAGGAACCATTCGACTTGCCACACCCCCCCGCAATCCATACTGGGTTCACTGGCTCTTTGACCTTGCGGTTGCGCCTCTGTTTGATCATCACTTCCTCACCGGTGACTGAGCTGGAAGCTGAATCTTTCGAACTCGTTCGGCTTGAAATGTCAATGGCACGTTCACCGCTGCACAAAGATTTATCAAAGCCCTTCACAATCACAGTCGACTGAGGACGCATGCACAAGATCGTCCCGATCACCGCCAACGTGAAGAGATAGAGCATCATGAGCGTCATCATCGGGAACTCTTCAAACAACAGGGCATACAGCATCGCGAACATCTCAAACCCGCCGCCAAAGCCCAAGGCGCTTGCACCCGAAATCAAACTGGCCGAAACCATTGCACGCAAAGCACTCTGTGAGATCATGATCGGCACACGAATGTTGCGAATCACTTTCATGTTCTGCTTGAAACTCTGCTTCTCTCTCTCTCTCTCTCTCTCTCTCTCTCTCTCTCTCTCTCTCTCTCTCTCTCTCTCTCTCTCTCTCTCTCTCCTCTCGAAGCTCTTGGGCACCAACGAAGCACTCACACATCTCATCCCACACACGCAAAATGCACATCAACATGAGTGTTCTTGCCCGGCTCAGCCCCTTCGTTCCAAGGTCGCTCGGATTGAATGTAGTACTGATCTTCAGCAGAGCAACCTCGCCGGATTTAATAAATTGTTGGCACCATAAGATTCGGCAAGAAAGATGCCGAACTTTTCCCACTCCGGAACGTTCCAGCATCGCCTTAGCTGCGCTGGCATCGATGCGGTGAAAGATCTTCACCCTGCCGAAGTCCATGAACTCAAGAAGCTCACGGATCAGAAGTGCATCACATATGCTGCTCGCGGGCGAAAGAAGTTCCGCCTCCCCTGACGAAAGTGCCACCACTCGTTGCGTTCTCGATGAGCTGAACAACATGTTGCCAGCGACACAAATGACACTTGCGCTAACGCTCTTTCTAGACCCTTTACAAGCGGCCCAGTTCGAATGGCTGAAGCTCTCGAGGATAATCGATTGATCTCCTGCATCATTCCTTGGACCCATCAACCCTTCACCGGGATCAGTCTTCACAATCATCAAACCGTTGTACCTCACACCGATGAGGTACTATGCCAAGTGCCTTAGCGCTAGCATGGAATGAACTGTTGGCCGTGCCATCCTCGAAGCGAGAGCACGAATGGCGCACTGACATTCCGGGAGATCAACTGACAGGTAAAGCAACAATCCAATTCCGCTTCTGAACGTTGTTGCCTCGCTGCTCTTCAACTCAGGACTGTTATCGATCTCGTCCAACTGTGGCATGTAGGGGGACTTCTTACACGAGGTATTCTCACTCACACACAAAAGGTCAAACAGCTTGTCGAAGTGCTTTGGGCTCGGGGTTAGCAAGAGCTGATCGTTGTTGATCAAAGTGTGCTTTCTCTTGAGGAAATCAATGGAATCCCCAATGTTCTCAATGACGTGCGCTGTCACCTTGTACTTCTTCTTCAGAGTCGGGATGAACACCCCGTGCACAAACTTCCGCTTTGCAAACCCTAACATGTCATCAACATGAAGCTGCATGGCAAACCTGCTCTCGGGATCTGTGGACTTGACAAGTGAAGGATGCGCTGCACACTCGACAACTCCCAGGTTGCCCTTGAGGAACTTCATGAAATCATCGTACCAATCACTCGACCCTGATCTTTGTCCCGGAAGAACGAACCCTAAGGAGAAGAGCTCTTTGGAACCATCGGGGTGAACATAGGTCACATAGGTCGGTCGCACCTGCGGCACGGTGAGAAATGATGCGTCGCCGATGTCAACGGCGAACAGCGTCAACTTGTCATCGTCAGGAATGTTCGCATCATCGTCCCTAGCTTTGTAGTGCATGTAGAGAATGGGCAGTAGACGATTGCATAGGCTGGAGCTCGCAGGACTGAACAAGTCGGTCCTCTCCGACAGCCAAGCAAACTCACGTGCTACATACCGGCTCCGTCGATACCACACTGGCACCGCTGGATTCCCTACTTCCTTTTGTCTCCATGTCCTGACCATTTTGGTTGTCAGGTGAACCGCTTCTGTCAAATCCATTGCGGCTGGATCTTGCAACACCGTCATACTCTTCAACCGAGTGATCTCGATTTCATCCGCAATCGCATCTAAATCTCTCATCTCTTCTTCTGTGCACTCTGATTCTTCATCTGACACCCGCGGACGGCACAACCTTAAATCCAAGTCGCCTGTGTCACCGACCTGGTCATCATGATAATTGCTGTAGTCATAGCTCTCCATATCATCGATAGCGTCCTGATCAAAAGCTAGCTCGACACTTTCATCTTCATGCGCGTAGACACTTTGCGAATCTCAACAGTGCAAGGAAGCTCTTCACACGGAACAACCAAGTTCACCTCATCAAAGGATGTACTGACCCCCGTCGCGGAGATCATGGAGATACTGCTCGTTTGAAGTCTAGGCTGCTTCGAGGGTTTGGGATTTTCGCTGAGCTGCACTGTTTCAGGAACTGAAGGCATGGACACATCACCCTGATCACCATGTTGCATTGTCTGAGCTGCCTCGGTTGCATTCCCAGCAGGCGCTGGTACTTGAAGATCAGGCACACCTTCAGGAAAATCAACGGACATCGATCCGGATGGCGAACTCGACACAGGATCACTTGCAGCAACTTGCGAAGGGGTCCTTGGCACCTCCTCAACCACATCTGGTTTCCCCGCCTCAACCGGTAACGGGATTGCCGGCTGGACTGTAGGGGTAAGCTTCTTGTTGTTCAAAACCAAGGTTCCTCCTTAGCTTGCTAAGCCATGTTGCCAAACATTCGTATCGATCTCTGCTGAAAGGTTTTGATCCCAGCAGTCACTGAACCGCCTCACCGAGCGAGACACGAACACACCGCCGGGAACGCCGAGAATGTTCACATCGTTGGCAACTGTTTTACCTAGCCATACTGCTTTCTGCCACTTGGGAGCTGCCTTCGGGGATTGTTTCAGGTACGCCATCACTGCTTCACCGAACTTGCATACCTTGCCACGGTACAAACTTCCCGTCAATCGCTCGCAGCGAATCTTGACTTGATCCACGCAGCATGGCACACCGCCCACTGCCACATAGGGTGGTTCGTGTCGAACAGAACCTTGCCTGACTCGGCGCCGAGGCCGACTTCTAGCTGCGACATCAAAGTACATGCAAGCTGCCTCATAGACTGAAGCGCTTGTTCCACCGGACCGTTGGCCTGATGAGCATCAATCGGCACCGAATCTTTGTGCACCTCCACTCCTAAGTTTCTCAAGACTTTGCGAACGGCATCGACCACCGCAACCACACTATTTTCATTGTCTGACCTCAGTCTGATCGCTGGGTAGCCAAGCCAAAGAATGAATCGGCTCAGCTCGGCGGTCATGAATGACAAAGCAGCTTGACCTCCCTTCCTCGGGGTCGGAATTGCACAAACTGCCTTGGAGTGCCGATCGTGGGCGAAGAGAACCGTCAGCTTGTGTTGATCACTTTCATTGCGCCAGAGAAAGCCAAAGTCGATCGAAATAGTAGTAGCTGACAAACCCTCATGATCAGCAACACTCGCATGCTGATCCTGACGCGCGCGATGCGCCACATGTCGCGCACCAAGCTCGGTAAGGCTCATGAGTGAGTTCATGTTGTGCTCTCTCTGCTTTACTCGGTTCTTCTGCTGCACTCTGACCACGCGGCACTCTCTCGTTCAAAGTGTGGCTCACGTGCTTGCTCTGCAACAACTCGTGCTCAATGCAATGCTTTCCCAGTCGCTTGAAAATCTGGGCCTTGTTGC